GCTCCGCCAGCGGCGGCCGGGAGCGAAACCCTCGCCCGAACCCTGCGGGGTTGGGCGCTTCTTTAAACCAGGAAGACCGAGGCCGCAGGAGCCAAACGTTTCCCCAAATCAGCACCGCTGCCTCGCTGCGATGAGCACGATTGTCCTTTGAAGGGCGCAGGCGTTTTACATCGCACAGAGAACACCTGAGACCTCCCGCAATCGCGTTCCCAAAGTCCCGTTAACTGTCTGATACTCCTTCTACTGTCTTCCTCACTGCTGCCCGTTGCCAAGATATTTCACATAAATAGAAGCTTTCTGATTTATAATCAGCCTCTTCCTTCTGATTCATGATGTTAATGAATTGAGATATTACCAACATTGGCTTATCGCACCACTGAATGGATCCAGCAAACGAAAGCTGATTACAGAGGAAAAAGCCAAGTGTACCCGGAAACTTAATAAAAAGAAACGTCCGAGAAATAGCGTAAAGCGGGTGCGGTTGTTTAAGCTCACTCTAAACACCGTTCACAGATGACGGGGGGATGCGACAGTTTTCGTTCACGTATGCGAGCCTTTCCCCTGTGGATTTACGGATACGTTTTCCACCGTTACGGTGATTATTACGAACGTTTCCAAGGAATCAAACCCGCTGCCCAGGGCTTCCCCGGGAATCTCGGCGCCGCGAAGCGAGAGGACGCACACAACGTGCTGCTCGTTCACTTTCTCAGCGCACCGCTCCTGACGACGCGCAGCCCCAGCGCCCCCGAAACGACCGACCGCCGCCCGTCCGCCCTCCCGCGCCGACCTGCCCCGCGTCCGGAGCTATCTCATGTCACGCTGGGAAACGACAGAGAAACGCTCTTCCCCGCCACCCACCCGCTTCTCCCTCTCACACAGCCGCTCGGCTGAGGCTTTCCAGCGCTTGGAGCAGCCCTACCCCTCGGGCAGGCTCCGCAAAGCCCCGGAGCGGAGGCGAGCGCAGCCGCGGCCCGCTGCCGGGGAGGTGCGCAGGTTAGACCGCGCTTAACAAAGCTGCAGGCATGTGGTTCACTTAAGCAAATTATCCTCCGGAAGCTTTTATTGAGCAACAGTTAGAGCACCGTGAATGAAGCTATTGGGAACACATACAAACTAAGTGGGTAAAGAAATGCAAGTCTGGAAACCAAAATCACGTTTCCCAACACTGCTGTGAGGCAGGTACTAATTTACTGCGGCTTCAAGCTAGGTAATTAGTCAAGGAGACTGTAATTTACTTAAAGGACGGCAAAATTTTCCTTTTATTAATCTGCAATATATTTGTAAAATAATCTTACGGCAGCTGGCTCTGCTCGAATCTGTTTCAAAAGTGTGATGTAAATACCGTCTCACACTATTTTGTTGCCTATTAGGGCTTTCTGGTAGGTGACACGACTGAGAGTGAGGAGAAAGAACACCACACGTTTATTTTTAAGATCATCATCACTAGTGATAAAACTTATGGGAAGAAGCGAGCATACTTCCTATCTGTATGCGTTAAAAACAAACGTACGCGAAGTAACTCAAATGAAAAGATACAACTGGAAGACTACATACACAGCGGGTACAATTTAGGGCATTTTCAAGAGCTGTTTCAGCTGTGTTTAAAAGGAGTAGCAAATTCCCAAATTAAATCACCCTATTTATGGCAAAGACAAAGAGCTTCACACAGCAGGAGGATGCACTAAAGAACCAGGGTTTTTCCCCACCTGTTTCCTTTGCAAGGGTTTAAGTATCTTTATCCATATCTTGCTAGCAATCGCATATCTGAAGTAATTTAGCACACAGTTACTGTGAAACAATAGGAAGAGTGCCAATAATCGATCTGGGATTCATTACATTTGGATTTTTCAGCAATAAACTTCTGAGATTCTAATCTTCACTCAGCAGATTAATATTTCAGATCAGTGTCAGAGGAAAATAAACACCGTACCTAAGCAAAGTATTTATCGCCGGTGTACTCACTGTCCACACGCTTGGCTACAGCAGGCACCAATTTACATCCAACTCGTACATGCAACACAACGCTGAAATCCAAGAGGCAGCGACTACAGGATCAAAGCTTTATTTCAACCGTAACACAGTATATCCGTGGATTATAATCCTTGAGCAAACACAATATTACAGTAATGAAGACCTTAGCATTACAAATATGTTAAAAAACAGCTTGCATTTGGGGCGATATTTAAGGTCAAGTTGTATCTGAACACAACTATTAAAATATTATGAAAACTACCATTATGGAGTAAATAATGTTTTCTTTCAGATGTAACCTCTAAAAGTACATTCCATTTCAAATTTGGTTTTCCTATTTTTCAGTACCAACAGGCTCAAACTGAGCATCTACATCCCTGACCATGTGAATGAAAAAGACAGGAATGAAGAACTGTAAGCTCAGCCTAAAATCTAGCTCTGAAAACATGACCCTGAATAAATACAATCAAGAGGATACCATAGTAAGTGTCAAATATCACGCTTCTAAACCACCTTATTATTTCATATGTACTCTCAAATGAAATTAATAGGCTTGAGAAAGATTCTGCAGAGTAAGAAATTTCTTATCCTAGGGAAAACTAACATGCCTTCTGCTACTGCCCCCACAGCCAGAATAACTGAGAAAGTAAAAAGCTCGGGAATGTGATGGTAGAGGTGACAAGATGGGTGAACAGGCTGTGCTCCTGGGTTAGTACTGCGGTTACTCAGCTGTGCATAAACCTAAAAAAGGATGATTAATTATTTCTTCTTGTAAGATACTCAAAGATTAACTTACGAACAGGCAAAACCTTTGGTTTTCCTTACTGCTCTTCTCCCAGTTGCCTTCCCCCACCCACCAGAAAAGCCCAAGAAGCAACAGGCTCTTGGGACCACTGCAGTTTATGTATACATCTATTTTAGCACAAAAGGGCGAGCAGCAAGTCAAGAACACAGAGTAACAGGTTATGTTCTGAAGGAAAACAAACATTTACCCAAGATAGGTAGGAAATTACAAAATACATATATAACGTAATATATATATTTTATATTTCTATACATATAAAAGCTCGGGATAAGATGGGGTATAACTGCATAGAATCAATATGGTTGAAGTAACAGCCTTGACTTGGTGAGAATAGTATATATAGTACTTTATCTTCTATACTTTCATGAGTATAGAAGAATACTCATTCAGGATCTCAGTTAAGCCAATATTAAACCGTATCGGTATCAATCAGCTCTAGGGATTTTTTAATTTTTTTTTTTTTAAACACATTTAACTAACATTTGCTTTCCCAAATTTGTATCTATAGAAAGGCAAGTGGCAAGCTAGCTCAGCCACAGTAAATTAAACTGTGCACTCAACAAATCTAGCAGGAGATACCATATAATTATGTTCCCTGCCACTGCTTGCCCCGAGGTCTGTGCCAAATCAGGAAACGCTCGCTCCTGTACCTTAATGGCCCTGCTGCGTGCCTCCCTGCCCCTACTGCTGTGCTGTTTCACAGCCATATGCAACTGCATTTATTTATATCAGACCACAGGCCAACATGAAGGCCCTTGTCTCTGAGAGCAGTCACCTATACACATTCCTGCTTTAAATGTTTCTCTTCGTTTTATCCGTTTCTGGACATGTTCCTATATAGTTTTCCAGGCACTAGTTGTCCTATTGCTTCTAAAGCTATGCTGCAGGAAAAAAAAGTAATTTCCTTCTTTGAAAAGAAGATAAGTTCATTTTCATCTTAATCTCTTTGCCCAGTAACAACAACAACAAAACAGTCAGAAACACAGTATCTGAGCAGTTAACTGCAGCACAAAAACTACACTAACACTGCTTGCAGGTGCCTTTCACAGCACGCTACAAAATCCTCACCCATCCAGCTGCCATGCCCTCACAGTTCACACACTTCGCTTTCCTTCCATGGGAAATCAAAAGGGCCAAGGAGATAGTGAGCATCTGCATTGTGTCCCAGGCGGAGTCCAAAGAGATAAAGACCCAGATTATTCACACATATAAAGTACTTAGGGGCCCAGATTTTAGTTTAAGTGATTTCCCTTTGGATGCAAAGACCAGGATGAATCCTAGCCTTTGTTAGCAACTAACTGCTCACCCATCCCTTCATTTTGGGCATCATCTGTAATAGCTTTTCCCTTCTTGTCTGCTCAATGGGTTCCAATTATTTGCTTTTTAAATTTGAGCTCTACAACTCTAAGAACCATACACATTCCTGCTAAATCAGATTGAGAACCGCTTTGTGATCTTACAGAAGAAAATATTACCAAGTTGTCTTTGTGACAGAACACTGAGTAGGTATAAAATTGCAATGGTCTCTATGCCAGGGTTTTTTTTAAGCTCTCTGCTTGTAAGATGAAAGCCTAATTTGATATTTTTGTAGTTATATAACAGTTCTAATATTTTGTGACATTTTGTATTGTGACACTATAGATGAAATTGTCATCGGACTGACACCCTTTACTGTTTATTCCTTAATTACAACTGTTAACAACACTGCAGAGAAGCGTGCTAATCTGCCATCACATATTATGAAAACAACGTTATTGTTACAAACACCAACACCCACTCAACAGGATATTTCTAAGATGGCAGTTTCTGTAAAAACTTATCAGTTTAATGGACACTTCAATAGAAAAAGTTTTAAATGAACTCTTAGTATTCCCATTGAAAACATACAACAATTTTATATCGCAGCTGAAGTTTTGATTTTATTGTGTCAGTGATTCTTCAGCTAATTTAAATTCAGACAAAACTGAGTGCCTAATTTCACGAACAGCATCTGCAGATGTTGGTTCTTAAAGATTACCCAGACTTCCTATAGTTCTCAGCTAGAAGTTAATTCTTTAGTTCTGACTGGACCATAAACTCCCCATGAACAGCTAATCAGTGAATAACTTAACTATGTTTAATTAACTAAATGAACACAGGCTTTTTAGTGCCCAGATCCAAAGCAGTCAGGACATTTATGAGAAATGTTGCTAAGAAGTACCTCAGTTTCAATAAAAGTCATTAAAACATCCCTACTATAAAAAAAAAATACATCTATGTAGCATGGAGATGCATCGATCAGTTCACTAGTAGCCTAGCAAAATTTGTAATCATTACATTTTCATATCCTCAAACACTGGCAGAGGTAAAATTTTCTTCTCCTACTTTCAGGTCAGGAAATTTTCAGTATGTTGTTGCATATGAGATTAAATTTTAACAATATATTGACTCAAGTCCAGGTTCTTAATTTTAAAAATTTTTTTTTTTCTAGGCTTTCTTTGCTGAGGAAGGATTAAATTTCTGCAGGCCAGGTCACACTCCTTGGAAGGCTCTTCCCCTTAACCGATACTTTAAAAAGCACTGCACTAGAGCAGTGAAATTTTCATACCGAGCTAGCCCACTGTACAACCAAAGGTCACTGATACTGCACCTCTGTAGGAGGAAGCTGAGGAGCTGTTCAATGGCTGAAAATGAAAATATTACCTCCACAACTTCTATATATGCTTGGTTCTTGGACAGCCACTGCCAGCTACCTTTCGGTTTGCTTCTTTCAAACTTTTCATGCCTAAACATAAGTTCTCACTTGTAGATTATGTCAACATAAAGAAAATAGCATTAAGAGCAGCCTAGAAGTAGCAAAAATCCCTAGAGGTTTGTTTACTTTTTCCTGTCTTTACCCACCCATTAGACAGGAAATACAAAGTAGGCAGCAGGAGGTTGGAGAAAGCAGCAGTGGTTACTGGAGCAAGGTGTAGAAGCAATGACAGTGGCAATGACAAAAATCAGGGAAAGCAAGATGCGGAAATTCAAGGTGTTCCTTTTACAACTGCTCTCACGAAGGTTTTTACACAGGTTCCTGGTGCTAAACCAAGGCTACTCTCTCTGATTCAAACAGCCTGCCTTTCCTGTTAACGGTAAATTCCTCCTTTCTCCCTCATCCACAGAGACATACAGCACAGATGACTGCAGTGAAGAAAGATAATGCATGAATCTGTCTTAACTTATCGCACTTATATGTAGAAGCAGAGAATTAAAAATAACCTAAAACTCCTCTCATACTGAAAAAGCAATTGCCTTGGTGGGTTTCTATACACCAGTGTTTCTCACTTTTGATCCTAAAAGCCACTTTGAGGATTGCTTCTCTACTACAGAATAAAAATAATTGTATACAATGTGACAATGGAAGCAAATTATCCAATATGGTTAATTTTCATTTAAATAATTTACATTACAATTTAATGGCATGATATTCTGTTGCCTGATCTGGATGATCTTGTCTGCTTAAGCCATAAATTACAACATAAAATGAAACTAGAGTGTTTATTTTTGTGAATCTTCTTCTGGGTAGCTTACGTTCTGGTTTGCAGTTTTCATTTTCTTAAAACCAATAGGAACTTCTGCTCTTCCTAAAAGAAACTGTTCCCACTTGGGAAGAGATTCTTTAATTGATGCCCAATAGAGAGTCTGAGAAAGATATAATCAAAAATAAACTTAATTTCAAAATCTGTGTCAACCCACTTAAAAACAATATAGATACGCAATGCATTATTAAACCTTGCCTTATGAGTGAAGCAATTCAGAAAAGAACAACGTACTTCAACAAGAAATTTCAAATCTCTTGTACGATACAAAATACCAGCTTGGAAGGATTTCATTCTGCAGCAGGAACTGTGAAGTGAGAAAAAATAAACTTAATTTCAAAATCTGTGTCAACCCACTTAAAAACAATATAGATACGCAATGCATTATTAAACCTTGCCTTATGAGTGAAGCAATTCAGAAAAGAACAACGTACTTCAACAAGAAATTTCAAATCTCTTGTACGATACAAAATACCAGCTTGGAAGGATTTCATTCTGCAGCAGGAACTGTGAAGTGACTGAATGTGCCCTCTTGTGGTAAGCAACAGTTTAGACTCTCACAGTACCTTTAATAAAATATTTTCCATAATAATAAACTTTTCCAAAAGCAGCTTTTATTTTTAAGTACGTATGTTAGTGGAATTTAATTTTGAAGTGAAAAGAATTGTTTAATGTTATAAACGAAAAGTGTTATGTAAATTGGTTACCCTAGAAAAGATTGCAGTAATGTAGTTCAAAATATTTAAGTAAAACTTTAGATGTGATAAATCACTGACGAAGTAATCAGCTCCGGTATTTGGATCACAACTGAAAAAAAAAAAAGAAAAGCTGTATACTTATCCTGTGGTCTAGGAAAACCACTATGGATTATCTAACCCTTTCTCTGCATTACCCTGTGCCTCTGAGTAATAAATGTAACTTCTGTTTTATCTGTGGAATGGACATACCATTCATCGTTTTTGTGTTGGTATCCTAAGGGTAACTTTGTTGTTTGTAGGATTTTGAAGAAAATTTTAAGTGCCATGTATCATTTTTTTTCCACAAAATACTGTGATCAAAGAGCTATATTAAGCCAACACTTTAATCCATCCACCAATGTAAGTGTACATATTTTTAGACATTGATGTCCATTCAGAAAAAAGTAATTTTGTAGTAGAAAACATTTATGGTACATATGTATCGAGCCTTTTTTTCTTTACTTGTTTAAGTATATAATGTAGAAGAAGTGTACCACAAAACTGAACATCTCCCTGCAGAGCATTAGATTCCTGGCTAATCATTTTGATCCCTACGTGTAACTCAGATATAACTATGGCTCTTGCAGGTTTACAAAAATATTGTCTTCAACAGATTTACTCAAAGAATCTTTTTTGACAAGCATATGTGCTGTCACACAAAACTACTCTGACTTAGCAAGCTGGGGATCCATTATAGCCATAACTTTCAAAGTATATTAATACAGACACATATATGGCTGAGTGAAATATGCTCAGAAGTGTTTTGGAACAAAGCACGCACAAGAATTTTGTACCATGAAAGAAAGTTTTCTTTTTCCACTATTTATAGCACTCTTCTTCAGAAGTATAAAAAAAGGCTGAAATAGCATCTTCTCCTTCAAATAGTAACTCTGTTCTCTCTAAAATTCAACCGCTGCTGCAGAGCGTAGGCATCTCTGCAGCCATAAGCAATTGCTCTGCATTCTCTGATTTGTGCGGACTTCGGTCTACATCCCGCAAGCAGCTTAACACCTAACACAGAACAGAGGGAGAAGCAGTCCAAAACTGATTCAAACAACTCTAGAGGTGCCCTGAAAGTCCTCTAGGAGTCTGAAACTACTTCTGAACACAGTCAAAATAGGTTCAATATTAGAAGCTTGGCATCTTTCAAGATGTACAGGTATCCAGGAAAAAAATGTACCCTTTTGCCTAAAATCCCTAAAAAAAAAAATCCCTGAATGGGCATACTCAGTGTGCATCCTATCACAGTGACAGGAGTAGGCTATTCACAGGATGCAATGACAGACAAAAACTTTTAACAGTAACCAGAACAGGAAGTGATGCCTCTCATTTAAGTAATAGCCTAAGCATTACAACACTTGCCCAGCAGCTGTGAAACTAATGTACAATACACTTCTCTTCACAGGCTGACAGCACTAAAATCCGTACCTTTCCCCTCCTTTGACAGTGCCCTAGCACACAAACTAGTGTGGGACACCCTGTGCTACTATGCCTGTGGAAACTAAGCCACCATACAACAAAGAACCCACAAACCACTGGTGCAAGAAACACAAGCGGGAATCCGACTCAGTGGCCTTGTGGTTGAGATAGTTTGCATCAGGAAGAGCTGTGCTCCAATTCCTGTTCCCAGGACTGTTTCTGTCCTCATCATTCATTCATCACTGCATAATACTGATAAAACAGTCTTGAGACTAGGGAACTAAACTTGTTACGTTGTATCAGGATAATATTCAGTTCTCAGAGTAACTTGCTGTTCAAAATCTTTATCTTTAAATAATGTTTTAGGGACTACAGGTTGAGAAGTAAAAATAGAGTGTTCCTGCTGTAGCAGTACTTTTCATAAGCTCCCATACAACCATAAAATAACTGTGAGGAGTAAAAATTTCTCTGTTCATGCAGATAACTCTTGACCCTGAAATGGAAAGATGACAATCTGTGGCAAACTGAAAATGGGATGACCATATAAAAAAACCTAAATACCTCTGAAATAATAAACACAGTAATCTTCTGATAGTCACAGTATTCATTTTTATATTTGACTTCATTTTTAAATAGAATAGAATATATATTTTGTATAGATCTGAAAGCTGTTAAATATTTCCACCAGAATGCTCCAGAATCTAGGGACCTTGCCCCAGAATTTAGGTTCAGCTTGCTACACAGTACACAGGCCTTTGGCTATACCAGTCACTGGATTTTAAAATCAATTATTTTCACTTTAAGAACATGCTTCAGGGGGGAAAAAAGGCAAATTATTTGGTAAACAGCAAATGAAAAGACAGTGTTCTAGGACTTACTTCTAACTTAACAGTATCGGGATGTGGAAGTAAATACACTCTTTCTTGCAGCTTTTTTTCTGCTGCTTCTATATCCTAAAACACAGGCAAAGTACATTTTAAAAACAAACTCTGGGAATATTAAAAGGAAAATGCACACTCACATAAAGACATTTAAATTAACTAAATAAACTCATTACAGCTAAACAGCATTCAAAGAACAACACTAAAGTTCAAATCTTTCTGTTTAGTCATTCTGAAATCCACCTTGTACTAGTAAGATGAACATCCTACAGTTTCTAAATATGTTTGCTGTACCTTTTTGATACAAGAATAAATTTCATGACCACGTAAGACTGTTGCTGTAAAACACCATTATTCTCTCTGGACACTAGGATAAATTACAGTTAAATTCTATTCTATAAAACTTAAGAAAATAGAGGGGAACAGAACAGTTTTCTCTGTGCTGCATGAAGACTGAAGTATGTATTCTAGCTACTGTAACTGTAAAGTAACTAGGCAAATTATGTGCAAGATCTTTACTCCTCAAGACAAAGATGACTTGCTAATATGCATGCATAACATGTGCACAAAAATGTAGAGCTGCAGCAAGCTGTTCACCAGACAAACTTGGATGACAATGCACCTCACATAGCTTGCTTATAAAAAAAATCAGTATTTGGGTTTCTGCTTCTCCAGTGGATGTGTGCTGGACTCACAAAGGCCTAAATAGATTTTTAAAAAAAGAAACAACCAAAAAACAACAGCAACAAACAAATCAAAACATCCCCCCAAAGTAACCGCCCTCCCCCTTTAAAGTTCTGACCCATTCTTGTGGGCTTAGTTCCATACCCAAACATTGAAGAGATTGAGTGGTGGGCAGATGAAGAGAGACAGAAAGGGACGTGGGAGTGGGGTGTGAAGAAGCCAAAGCTGAACAGAGTGGAGGGGGAAAGAAAGTATAGCAGATGGCAGAGTTGGGAGCAGAGAGCGGGTGTGAAGAGTACAACAGAAAAACTAAATGAGAGAGGAAATTCCCCAAAGGGACTTCCCAAATATTCACCACCACTGCCGCTGAAAAGAAGAGTGAGATTCTGGAGGAGCATATCCACAAGAGAGACCAAACATGATTACTCGTATTGAATAATAGCCAATCTGAATACATCAATAAGTAAACAGTGCTCGACTGAAGTTTAGTTTGAAAAATATGACTCAAATTCAGTAAAGTACGATTAATAAAAGCAAAAACCAGCCTTACTGTTAGCCAAAGTTCAACTTAGTGATACAGATACACTCAGTTCATTCAATTTACAGTGTTCATCTTATTTCATTAATTCCTTTTACAGCATGACTGTATTCTCTTGTACTTAAGTACAAACCAAATCCAAGCAAAACTGTTCTCCCTTTTCTACAGTGAAGTGCATATACCCTTGTAGGAAGCTAAAGGATGTCTGAGAAAGAGCAAACTAAGTCTCAGATTTATCCAAATCCTCGGAAGTAGCAAGTGGCTGCCCCTTTTCAGGTGAGAAAAGACTAACGGGATAAACGTAAGGGAGGAATATGGGCAAAGATGGAAGCCATTTGAAGTCACAATGTCAAAATAACAGAGGACAATACAGACTTAACTAACCTAAGAAAGGAACTTCTCTGTTGCATGTACTTAGAACAGAGACACCACAAATAGCACCACATGAAGCTCATATCGGTATGGCTCAGACCAAGTCTGGAGAAGTTATCACCACACTGAAAAGGAGGATCAATCAGTAATGTTCACTTCATATTCTTCCACAGGATTTTCCTCCTTTCTGATTCCTTCTTCCTAATTCCTGTAGGAATTTTCACAGGAAGGAAGAATATCAATCAAGATCTTTATTTCTTTATATACTCAGCTAAGTCATTGGAATGTTTACGGTGATAGGAAATGAGTGTCTTTCAGGCAAGAAAGGAGACAGCAGTTGTGCATATATGTTTAGTAGAGAAGGTCACTTTGGCATAGCCTAGATATTGGATGTGTCTTTTCGTTGCTCATTCTAGTTTGTATGTTGTGCAGTCTATTGTCATTCAGAATACTGATTTAATGACAGACAGTGAAAGAAATTTTTGCTGGAAGGTGTAGTATGCTTTAGAAAATAACTGGAACTATTGAAAGATTAGATGGCACTTCTTGTGTGTCTATACAGCTGGTAAGCTTTGTAGGAAAAAAAAAAATCCCCGCCATCAATATAAAAATAAATACGTCAGCAGTGTAAACTTCTTTGGAAAAAACAGCAAATCTAATATGTCACAGTACTGAAAAAAGAGAGCATCTTACAACGCTTCCCCTAAAACCACAAGGACTGGAACAAAAACAATTCAAGACCCTTCCCCAGAGGTAAAATGGAATGCATGACACATGCATCACTTTTAGGGGACCAAATTCAGCTGTCACTTATATTGATATCAGTCTGGCAGAATCCCACTTAAATAATTCTAGAATTACATGCCTGTGAAGGAAAGCAAATTTGGTCTAAATTACCTTCCCAATACTAACTACTATGTAGCATTTTCTTTATTTTCTATTTCATGTTATAAGCTGTTGCACAGTAATACATATTGCTAAACACAAGAAATATTACTGACAAACAAATGTCATAAATTAGATTATAAATACTAGTCTAATTTCTGCTTTTATTACAACATTATGTAAGTACCAAACGATACAGATTTCCCTAATCTGCAGTCTCCCTCTAAAGACATCAGTGATAATTATGTTAAAATGCTGAACAAGTGCTTATAATGCTAAAATTTCAATTAAAAAAATGTTTAGTTCCTTGCTTCCTACTGATTAGTAAATAAATTAATTTTGAAATGCTTTCCTGTGCATAAATATCAACTAGCACAGAGAAAGAAAAATGTCTTTCGCTATGATCACATACTGAAAACAACTGATTTTGCTTACATGCAGAAAAACAGAAATGCAAATAAAAAAATAACACTTCATCATGTCCATGTATTTTTGAGTAGGCCAAATCAACAACTCTCCACATGGTAACTGTGAAATGTACAGTGCCTGGTATCAGGAACAATATTCTGAAGCTGGCACATTAATCAGTCTTGTTTTCAAGCTTCTCATATATTATTCTGCATAGATTTGGTTTTTTTCCTGTTTTCTTCTGTTATCAGAAAGCATCTGCAGGAGTGCATGCCTGTTAAAACTAGTATAAAATTAATAGATTTAAACTGATTTATGCTACTTTATCCTGCAACAGAATTTGTTTTGATACATATGTTTTTGCTTTTTTTCCGTACAAACACCAACATTTTTGACACTTGAAAGGAACAATTTTGAGGATGTGACAGAAGATGGCAAATATCTGTTTAACTGCAAAAATATTTACACTCTGTATATGTCTGAGCTATTGTTAACATTTCCAATACAAGCTTTCAGCATGCAGAAATATACCCTGCATTTATTATGTTCGCCTGTATATGTTAATTGAGAATGCATTAATAAAACACAAATACTGTATAAAACCCCTATATTCATGAACTAAATTAAAATTTATTTTAAAAATTAGAAAATTATAAAAAGCATATGGAAAATGGGAGTCATAATGGCTGAAATTATTAAATCAATGGGGCATGAACTATGGAAAAAATAAACAAGCCGCCCACCTCTCCCCAGCCTCCCTCTGAAGCACCTACACTTGTCTGTACCCACTACAGAGGCGTTTGATTGCCCCAGCCCAGAATGCACCAGTTTACCAGAGTCCAAGCTAAAAAATCATCCTTGTCACAGAACAGTTAAGAAGGCATCCCTGATTAACTGTTCTGCCTCGTCTGCCACTCCTTAACTATAGCTTCCATTTAAATACAAAGAGGGCCTGCAATAGAATTATACCCACCCAAAATGTGAAGATTTTAAATCGTGACCGGGCTCTGCACGAAGAAACAAAAAATCTTTGGTGACACAAATTAATCTTGTAATTTTCTAGAGTAAAACATTGTTTCAGTAAACACAATACATGCAATACGGACCCTTAGTAAGTAAGGGTTTAAAGAAAATGCACGAGAGGTATGGTTTTCTGCTGTTTCCTGAACAACAGACAAACATTTTTCAAATGCACGCTCATGTCAGTGGTCAAGTGCAATCTCTTCAAACTCAGATGCCTAAGCTAGGGGCTCCGGAAGAGGTTTTAGCATTCCAGTCCCTGCCATCAAACCTGGATTTTTTTAATTGCCCATTCTCATACTTCTGCTGAATTTACCTAAGAAATGCAAATCTTACCTAAATATGACAACAGGTATGTAGAACAGCTGTTAACGTTATTAACAGTATCACCACTAAGAAGAGCCAGAAACACCAAATACTGTTTTTACAGACTTGCAAGTAAGATTCTTGAAGTCATTCTACACCTCTTTAAAGAAAAACATTAAACTGAGAACGTCTTCCACAACTTCACACAGCCATAGTGGGAGAATAGTTCTTACCCTGGACTAAAAGCATTATGGGCTGGTCAGCCCCTATTTCCAAACACACCCCTGGACCTTGAATCACAGTGTAAAGATGCTGTGAGTCTTGTCAGACTAAGTTCTCTTAGGCAGACATGTAATAGCATGTGTTGCATCTCTACATGTACTTAAAAAAAAAAGAAAGATAGTAGCAGCTGCCACCATGAGGCTCATATAAGGGCATGGGAAATAGGTAGTGATGCCATCAGATAATAAAGACTTGTAATTTAATACTTTTGGTCAAGTTCCAGAAGAGGGAACTGTATATAGGAGAATTCAAATAACTATAGAGCAAACACTTTTTTTTTTAATTCTCTAAGCTACATAACCATGACATTTCAATGCGGTCCCTGGTAGTTGCAGAAACTTACATTTAAAAGTGCTGCATTCCTTTTATGAGCTGCATCAGCTGCTTGAGTTTGCCATGTCTTTTTAGTCTTTTTGTCTCCTAGATAAGTCTCCATCTGCTGTAGCAGCTCTGATCTCTGAGACAGTCTACAAAGGAAAACATTTTGCTAAGTGGGTAGAACATTTTGCTCAGGAGCTAGAAAATAACCTTTTTACCTTACCCAGTTTTCTCAAAACTATGGGGCTAATTAAGCCGGCTGTAGGGTGGGTGTGCTGGGGGAGGGAAAAGGTACAGGCAGACACCACCTGCTGTGCTTGTATGAAGCTATAATGTTGCAACCAGCAGTCCTCATATGCTAAGGTGCTTAGAAGCACTGAATCTCCCAGAACAGGGAAGACAGGGTGGGTCGGGGTGACTTGATCAGTACTACTCTCGCTCATTGGCAAGTACTAGTTGTTATAAGAAATGCAGATTTTTCTGAATCATTACTGTATTTGCTTCACAATCTAAGTTTTCAGGGCAACAAAGAAGCAATTCTATAATTGAGGCGTAGAGTGAGAGAATCCAATTACCTTCCCCAAATAGGAATTTAATGGTGACAGGAGGTTAACAATGGAGATCTTAAACCAGTACCACCATTGGAAGTCAAAAACCTCATCAATCTAAATACCCTTAACGGCAATCAAGGATGCCAATTCCAATAGTTCATGAAGGAAGAGTGCCACCTCCTGGAACACCAACCCCTTGTTGAAATACCACTGTGCTCTGTACAGAGCTCAGATTCACTGTTCACAGGACGGCCACGTGCAGTGAGGGAGGTCTCGGAAGACCACAACACAAACTGCTGTGAGGCAGGCCACAGCGCTGAAACAATTACTTACATCTCTTCATGTCTTCTAGCAAGGTGAACCTCCTGAGCCAAATAGGATGACATTTTCAGTTGTTTGCCCCAGTTTTGTCACTCTATTAAAGGAAAACCAAGTGAAATTAAAATCTTCCAAAGACATACATGAACATACGCTTTCCAGTATTAAACAACTCCATGTTAAAAAGTTGCAAGCATGGTATTCATGTATCAGCTATCTACACATAACCTGCTTATAAATTTTAATATTCACCACAAGACATTGTTACATTATGCTTTGAATACATGCACACTACTAATGTTCACAATATGTTCTAGGAAAATCCTACTGTATTCTAATGATTTATGACAGAACTAAAATTTGACTTTCAAGTTTCAGATGTAGCATTGAGTTTTCTCAAGTTTCAGATGCTTACAACCACACAGGCAAACTATGTGCTTGCATAATTTGTGTATTACTGTTTACATTAGTGATTTCTGGCTTTTGTCACGTTACTCTGAACACAGTTATACTTATAAATACCATTTATAACTACCTCTCACAGATGCAGTGTCCTGATCTATGTTTAAGTACAGGCATGATTAAACTAAATAACTTAAGCTACTAAACCAGTTAAATTTTTGAGCGCTTGAAAAATTAAGTGAAAATTTCTCCAGCTCAGCTCTTCAGTACTGTAACACAGTACATGATGGGATACACAGCTTAAATTGTTTACATCTTACTGACTTTTTTTGAGATATGAAAGAGATGAACTGCCCACTGCATGCAAATCGAGATCCTACGGCACTTTTCAGAAGGCTGAAAGTGTTTTACAGTCTAATATTTTTTCACCTCAGAAGTGACTGCATTGTTGTCACGTTAAGTAAAATCAAAGAAAAGAACCTGCCACGTTCACAATGTTGAAGGGTGCGAGAACTAAAAGATCTTCTCGAGATACGAGAACATTAGGAAAGGCCTCCTCTCTGTCAAGAGATTCGCATGTGACTTCGAAGCAAGTTATTTACACGTGCACTCGAACTTCAGCAGAGGCCATTTTCTAGGGATGCAGGTTTCACCACACTCTGAAAAATACTTCTATACAACTGCCCTATTGCTAATGTTTCCCCTTCGTTTAATACGGAGCACATCCCCTCTGTGCTTCCCCTCAGCCGGGGAACTTCATGCTGTGTGCGAGACCGGGCAAGATCTCTGCTCATCAGGCAACGCCTTTACCGGCAACGGGAGAAACTACAGCACGGGGAGCGCAAACGCACGCACCTCTTTTCTTTAGGGGAGCCTAGCTTACAAACAGTAGCAATAAACAAGCACCCAGTGCGAGCATCCTCCACCCGCAGCACCACGGGCCAGTCGCTTCACACGCAGCTTCCCTGGGCGGCTGCCAAGGCGTGAGGCAAGCCGGGCTGGGCCGCTGCGGGCAAGCCCCCGCCGGCAGCCCCACGCTCACCCCCGGTCTCGTCAGAAGCCCTTGGGAGGCACCCCGGGCCGAGAGGCGGCAGAAGGGACGGGCGCTCCCACCTCAGGCCGGCAGCCCTTGAAAAGGCGGGAGCGAAGCGGCCTCAGGGGGAAGCACACACAGCGGGCGGCGGCGCGCGCGAAGGGGCGCGCAGGAGCCGCCCTTAGCCCTACCATTGGAAGGGGGGGGGGACAGGATCTGCGAGCCCGTCGGAATGTACCATTCTTTAGGATTGAGGGAGGAGAAGGCAGGAAAGAAAAATAAATAAATACGCAGCCCTAGTTTACCTGCAGCCTCGCCGGCTTCGAAAAGGAAAGCAACCACCCACCATGGTCTCCACGACGCCTTAACCTCCCCCCCTCCGCTGCCATGGAGACGGCCGGAAAGGTGGAGCCGAGCCGTAGGCGCTGATTGGCACCGTCGAGCCCCGGTAGGAGGAATCAGGCGAGGTCGGGATCCGCCTTCGCCACGGCTTGAAGCTAGCCGCAGGGGCCGCCCCGCCCCCCGCCCGGGCGCGGCGGGAGGGGGGGCGCGGAGCCGTAGGCGCTGATTGGCTCCGTCGAGCCCCGGTGT